CTCTTATCTTAGTTTGAACTCCAGGATTTTATGGTTCATTTATTGCAAGAAGCACTCCTTGTTCCCGAACTAGTAGTTACATATATGTGCAATTAATTTGCTCTTTAGTTACATGCAGTTAGACACAGTTTATACGAATTCATTGGGCTAATAAATAGACTAGATGGAGTTATCAAACTTACTATTAAGTTTAAAATGGAATATATAAGGTTCTGAGTCGGGCATGTATTTTTAGAAAGCTCACATGTACGATTTTCCTTATTACTTTCTTTTCTAGTAAAACAAATGAAGCCAAAGTGGGGCTTATAAAATTAAGTATAATTCTAAGTTTTCGTATATGTCTAAATACTATGGACTAAAAATTGAGGTTGGGAAATATTAAAATCAAAGCATATCCTCTGGGATTAATAACCAATCATTTTTTCCGCATTAAAATAAAGTTTGTCAAAACAGCCATTTACGACATAATAGGCAGCTAGACCGTTATTTGGCTCCTAATGTTATCAACTTTCGAAACTCAAGACTAATGCATGCAGAGTAGCTATCACTTCTCCCACTTATGCCTTCTGGATTGGGGTTTTTGATAATGTTGAACTGTCTCTTGTAAGACTTTCCAACAAATCCATAAAGGTGTATCTCAAATTACATCATGCTACGTTTTATATCCTCAGAAATCAGAACTAGCTGAATATATGGCCAGTACAGAGCACTAGATAGAGTGGTCTAAATCAGCTTTTTTGCAGGACACGCACACTTCATATCTAGGCTCACGATTAGGCAGTTTATTGAATTCTAAAAAATCAACCAGCATGGAATAAATGAGTATGTGAAAGTGAGCAGGACCTATTTTTAGATATTGAGTGGAGTTAGGGAGTAGAAGATGTAGCAGAATGAATCTCCTAGTAAGAGGTTTGATTAACCTGAGCCTATTTTGTTTTCACGCCTTAGATTATCCATAAACATTAGATACACTACAAAATATAGTATATATTTTTAAGAAAGCCCTATGACCACATTCTCTTCGTTCATCAATTTTACTTATCTGCGGACATATGGAATAGACTGAAAGTAGCCAAGCAAATCAGTCTGTCACGTTATAAACGAAGAAAAGGGAATAAGTCTGCATATATCCGACCACTTTTCTTCGTTTGGTATATTGTTAATTTTTTCATAAAATCGATTTATCGCGCTTACACTGTTAATTACTTGCAAGACGAAAGCTCAGCATGGATGCATCGGGGTCGCAGGATGGTGGGCCAAGGACTTTGCATCATTAAGCAGTCAAAACTTAAGTGCTTCCTTCAATTCACGATTCGGCCATTTTTCAAATCATGTTTAACCAACTTCGGATCAAAAGTCACGTGATATTAAATCTCTTCTGAACAAAGTATGATTTCGAGACTATCAATAGCTCCTGAATAAGAGCCTGGACCACCCTAAGTCGTTTAAGGTAATGGAGGACTGATAGTGAACTTCCCCATAATTGGATGAATAGGCTTAACGATGCAGCCCAACATGGATAAGAATATCTTTTGAAAAAAGGACTGTGAAGTTGAATTGCATCATGAGGCCTTCTTACCTCATTATGTGAAAATTAACTATCAGCCCTTCATCAGCTTAAGCAACCTGAAGTGACTGAAGCTCTTTTGAAATTTTTTTGCACTGTGCTCTCATTTTTTCAAAAATATGCGGTATCTTGTATAATTATGGTGGAAGTTATCTAAAAGTTTTGCTGTCGCCTTTGCTTTCAAATCCCATGGTTTTTTAAATTTTTGATTACAGATCAATTAAGTATCAGTCTGTTGGTCCAACGATAGCCCCTAATTCAACCGTAGAAGTGCTTGGCTTGCAATCTACGCTACCTCTTATGATTTCTAGTTGCTCTAGGCAAAATACGTCGTATAGTAACACAATCAGCTTGGTAGATCTGATTCATCTAGCAGGGTGCTCTGTCGAGTTAAAATACATCATGTCATATCACAGTGTTGGGTTAAAATCTAATGGAATTAATTAGCCATTACTACATAATCATTAATCTCGATTTTTTATTCTCATTTTACTTTGGCAGTTCTTCCGTAAGAAGATTGTATATATATATATATATACACTTTTTGAGTCAATATGGTAATCTTATTAAATAGTAACATTGCGGGAAAGTTAATAAGAATTTAATTTTTTTGAATTTTTTCCATTTTCTGAGTTTTTATCGTCACAGCAGCACCAAATTTTCATACTCCCGTATGGTTGCCTTAGGTCCTCTAGCCTATCACTTCGTATGCCTTTCAATGAAGAAGTCATGGAGTTCGATTGGTTGATCGTGTCACCTGAACTTATATATGCCTTTACATTAATAAATATCTACCATCTATTTCAACACCCGTATAGGGTGCTTGAGTACTTGATTTGGGCTTGTTCTCTTTGGCTTTTCTAGACTCTGATTGTGGGCCAAGCTCATGATAGGGTAATGGTTTGCGACTACCTCTCCGATTAACTTTTGCTAATCTTCTTAGTTCCTAAGCCGAGGTAGTTATATTTGTGATTCATTTTACGAATTCTATGGGGTCTTTTGGTTTAAGGACCCAATTTCAGGAGTCATTCTTATTTCAGCAATAGTTCGACTCGCTTAGATGAGCCATTTCCTTGAAAATAGTAAGAATTCGTTTTATTTTGAATGCTAAAGTTAATGATATTTCTTTTACCTACTTATCACGAAAGTTTAGTTAATATTCGGGATGTAATTAATTAGGAAGCAGGTTTTAGAGCGGTTTTTTCCCTAGTCTAGATCGAGCCTGGAACTTTTAAATTTCACTATCTTCGACACAAAATTCTTCCTTCCTTGTGTCCTATAATCGATTGTACTACTAGTTTGTGTACACAAGGTTTGACCAATATCATACTCCAAACTTTGCCCCCCTCGATGCTGCAAATTCTACAGTACATGATCATTTTGTGAAGGTCTTGAAAGGTTTAACCTTTCTGTTAAAAGTTGAAAGTAACTTTCTGTCCTCAAATAATTGGGTAAAATGTATCAGTTTACCAGTTGTTTCTCCTTATAATACCGAATTTTGGGAATCTGCATTGTGCTTCTTGCCTCTAACATTTTTGGGTTAATTTTTTACACTTACATAAAAACGTTTCGTGTCTTGTTTTAAAAATTAAAACCTATTTCGAAGTCTATGACCGTCTGTGGAACCAAAACTCGAAAATTTTTTAATTATCTTTTTCACCTCTTTGAAGGCCCTATCCTTTTCTTGTGTCCATCTAAAGGCAACTGACTTCGGGACATCCTGTATTCGCACAAGTCTTGAATATAGGCTTTCAATAATTTCGTCAATACAATGCATTGACATAAGACCCTTTTCTCTCTTTTGGTCTATTAAATTCCACCTCCATTTTTCCTCGTTTATTTATATTATTTGTGAGTTTATGTGGTCCGTGCACTTGAATACATCGTACTCTACCTTATTATCCTTATTTTTCGGTATTACTAATTCCTTTTACTATATTTGCAGGCCCACCTTGGATGTTGCCAATTTCACCTGTCAGAAATGCTTAACTAAAGGACACTGGACTTTCCAGTGTACTGGAAAGCGAAAATACCTTGAACGTGAATCGTATACGTCTAAATTACAGAAAAAGATCGATTCTAAAACTAAGGGCTCCTGTGGACTCAATAGAACTAAAAAAAGGCAGTAAGCTAAGTTGTTAATACTTAAGCATAATCTCATTATTTTTTTGTAAGTTAATATTTTCTTATTCTTTCAGGAAAGATACTGAAGATTCTAGCTCAACATCGTCTTCTTCTTCTTCAGATATAGACAATTCTGAGAACTCTTCTGATGAATCCAGTTCTTCTCTAGACTCTGATACCTCTGAATCTTCTACAGAGAATTCTTCAGATTCCAGTAGCACAAGCGACTCCAACACTAGCAGCAGTAGCACTCATAGTAGCTTGAGTAGTAGTGGCAGCAGTTCGGAGAGCAAAAGCGAAGACGAACCAGCTTCTAAGCATAAGAGACAACACAGAAAATGACAATATA